TACACGGTTTCTGTGGGCACAGCTGCTTAAAGAGCACAGCATTGACTAAAGAGCCGTGTTACCAGTTGCAGCAACTTGGGGATCCCCATACCATGTGGTCACCAGTGGGTTTTTATGTTGTTTTTCCCGTTTTCCTTTTCTGTTTTAAAAGTTGTCTTTGGATTTTTTTCTTGGGTCCGTTTCTTTTGTCCATAGCTGTTTTGTTACTTTACACGGGTTATTCTGTTGTCCTGTTGTATCTTGCAGTAGAGTGGGTTGTCTAACAGGTAGGTATCTTTCCATCTGTTTTGTTTGCTTTGTTTGTTGTTTTTTTTTATTTTATTTTTCAAGACAGGGTTTCTCTGTGTAGTTCTGGCTGTCCTGGAACTCTTGTAGACCAGGCTGTCTTAGAACTCAAATCCTCCCTCCTGCCTCTGTATATCTGCCTCCCAAGCACTGATATTAAAGGCATGTGCCACCACCGCCCAGCTCCGTCTGTTAGGTTTTTAAGAAATTTACTCAAGCTATCTGCCTTTTGGGTTCTTGAGGTAAATGAAGGGGTAATAATAATAACATCTGGGTTGTGGTGCTCGTGGTTAAGAATAGGTAGCTTGTAGAAGAGAATAAAGCAAAAGTCAGTTTCATGTTTGCATTCTCTAGAGGGACACCATTATTTTCTATATAATTTATACTTTATGACCTAAAATGAAAGTGTTTTGCAGTGCACAACAGGCTCCGGCATATTACTTTATTGTAGCTATAGACAGAATCCGTATATTTAAAAGTGGGATTGGTTCACCGTGTCTGGTGCAAATAACAGCTTACTTTTGACTATTTTTCATAATTTTACCTGTGGCTGGAGGGGGGCTGGGCACTAACCTGAGTCCTTGATTTTTGCTTTTCCTTCTCTTTGTTTCTGCTTTAAAGCCTTGACCTGTTTCAGGGACTGCTTTTTACCATCTTTGTGACTGGATGCGATGATGCTTTTGACCCTTTCCCCAGATGCTGAGCCTTCCTCTCTTTTATTATTTGAGACACCAGTGAAAGTGAACAGAAAAGATGCTTTTTCTTGTTTTTATTATGTTTTGTGTATGTGTGTGTGTGTGTGTGTTTGTGTCCCACGTGTGTGCCTGGTGCCTAAAGAGACCAAGGGAGGGTGTTTGCTCTCCTGGAACTGGAGTTAAAGATGGTTGTGTGCCACCATGTAAGTGCTAGGAATTGAACTGCCGAGCCATCTCTCCAGCCCCTCTTTGTGGAGGAACTACCCTGGAGCTCTCTGTGTATGGTGATATTGATCTTGAGCTTCAGCATATTCTGCTTCTATGCTCTAAATGCTGTAGCCATAGAGTGTGTGTGTAGGGAGGGGCTGTGCACATGAGTGTGTAGTGGAGGCCTCTTGAAGCAGAAATTATAGGAGGTCATGAGCCCACCCTCCTGAATGCTGAGAACAAGAGGTCCCCTGAGCCATCTCTCCAGTTCAGCCCGTACCTTTCATATGGGAGATTGGCTTGCTTTTTTTGTTGTTTGATTTTTATTTATTGAGCATAGTATTTATAGCGACTCATCCTATAATTCTAGATATTTATACAAGGAAGTTGTAAGAAGGTGTGTGTGTGTGTTGAATGAATACATTATTGCTATTAACTATTTAATTGTGGAATAAATTGAAATCATAGCTTGTGGTTTCTGTTTGTTCTCCATGCATTTATGACTTTCAGATGCAATTTGTGTGCCGTAAGATTTACTATTATGCTTGTAGTTCTGTGGTTTTAGGTATTTAGTTTGTCGTCGCCACCACTGTCTATAACTTTAGGAAATAAATTACAGTTTTGAGTCCTTTTTAACTTCAATTTTCTCCTGTCCCTCAGACACACTCTTACAGATGAGATTGTGCGGTGTCTGTTCTGCTGACCTGCAGTGGACTTAACCCTCAGTCAGGAGGCAGGTGATTGCCTCTGCACAGTGGTGTGGTGAGAACGCTCCCAGTACAGATAAGCACATAGCTGACCAAGCTGTTTGAGCAAGTGGGGCAGTTCCAGAGGAACTACCTACTGTTTTACAAAGGTGGGACTTGGAAAGAAGAAAACAGCCACCAGGTGTCTTGAAATACCAGAAATGTCAAAATCACAACCAAACTGGCAGATTTACACACCACCTTTCTCGGATATACCCTGATTTGAGGTGGGGCTGTGCTGTGTCTGGCTTCACGACAGAGACTGATAGGATGTTTTGGTTTGAACATAAGTGACTCCACAGATCTTATGAAAATATGTTCAGTTAGTTCTCAGGGCTCCCCAAATCTTAAAGTGGTTAAATACAAACCACCGCTTAGCCGGCGGTGGTGGCGCACGCCTTTAATCCCAGCACTCAGGAGGCAGAAGCAGGCGGATCTCTGAGTTTGAGGCCAGCCTGGTCTACAAGAGCTAGTTCCAGGACAGGCTCCAAAGCAACACAGAGAAACCCTGTCTCGAAAAACAAAACAAAACAAAAAAAAAACCAAGCCACTACTTAAGGAGGCCGCTGTAAGCAAGGAGAGCAATGAACACCCCTGTGGTTTACTGCAGATTTTCCGGTTCCTCTTAAGGGCATGGGGGAGCTAGGAAGGGGATTTAAAGGCTAAGTGGTGGTCAGCCAGTAAGAGACAACTTGGGTGCTTGCTTGTTTTCCACAGCACTGTCTAGAAGAGGATGGACCCTGGGTTTCTGCTCCCACTCCTCCCTTGTTCAAGGCAAAGCTAGCCCACAGGAATGTGGTGGACTGTTAAGTCTTGACGGGCTGATGGGTTGCTTTTGTGTCTGTCTTCACGATTCAGTACTGGCCATAGCGTTTCTTCACAGTTTGTCAGTGTGGCAAGTGGACCAGACTGGCTTCTTGGCAAATCCAGTCTTGAAGGCAGCTAGCCTCCCAGCTTAGAGACCGCATGGGTGCCCTGTAGTTTTGGCGTGGTGGGGGTAGAGTTTGTACACTGCCAGCTTGGAGCTTTGTTGTGTACTTCCTTTGTCCTTGCTCGAAGAGGCTGAAGTTTCCTAGCGCTATTGATGATTGTAAGAGGAACTGTGGACTTTTAACCTTGATGGCAAGGGTGTTTAGAGAACAAACAGGGATATACACGGCTGCTTTCTTGAGTCTTGTCATTTGATAATGTTTTGGCTAATGTGGCATGACCATTTGCTTGGGAGGACATTTTCTTTAAATTTTCCTGTGAGTTCAGGTTCAGAGAAAAAGCCTCATCTTAAGTCTCGTTCTTCAGGGTTTTTGTATTATGTAGAGTACTTTTCTCGCTTCTAATGGTCCAGCTACTTGGTTTTTCTGTCTTAACAGCTTTTGCAGGTAACTGTTAGTTCAGACTTAGTAATTGAAATAAGTGTGTTAGTGGCCTTATTCATCCATCTTTGCTTTCTATACAAAGTAAATGCCGGGGAAACACTGGATTAACAGTTGCCTGTTTAGCTGGATGTGGTGACAGAGGCAGGCGGTTTTCTGAGTTCAAAGCCAGCCTAGACTACAGAGTGAGTTCCAGGACAACCAGGGCTACGCAGAGAAACCCTGTCTCCAAAACAAAACCAAACTCAAGATACACATGCCTTTGGATATTTGGTTACCTGTGAGCCTCTGTACTCTGCTGTGGTCCACTGACCAGCACTGGGCTCAGGCCAGACGTGAACTAGTGGCAGGAGGAAAACCTCATTGCTCATATTTACTTCTAAAACAACATATATAAGCATGGTCTGTGGTTATAAATTCCAGCATTGTATGTGCAAAGAGAATTGTACTTTTTTTCTTTCTTTGCATGGTGTTTTGTGGTAATTGGTAGTTGGGTGTACAACTCCTGTAGTTTGTTCCATTGAGGTTTAGTTTAAGTTTCCATGTTTATTTTCCCTCCACTTGGCAGATCAAGCTGACCTTGAACCGGTGGCAGTCCTCCCTTAGTGTCCCTAATGCTGCTGAGATCGCAGGCATGGGCCTTCATGCCCATCATTCACTGCCTTTTGTGTCCCCTAATCCACATCTGCTGAAGTTGACTTAGATGAGGAGTCTCAGTGGCCTCCAACCTAAAGATAGTTTTTACCTTCCTTAGTACCGGGATTTTGACCAGAGGAGTTAATTCCACTCATTAGTGCATGGGGACATCATTTCTAAACTCTAAGGTTGGGTTTCTGTGATTTTCATATCTTCCTTTCAGCTCAAGGTGATAAATTTCCCATTTAACCCCCGCTTCCACAGAGCACGGTTGATGCGTGGAGTTTCTTGTGTCTTGATGAACGCATACAACTTTCCTAGGGTGGAGTTGCATTAATAATACAAAGGCACAAGATACCAAAATTGTTATGAAGTTTTAGTCACATTCTTAGTGGCTTGTGTATGCAAGGAGGCACAGTGGAAGGAAGTGCCAACGTGACCTATCGCTCCATTCTCTGATTAAGGTTTTTATGTGGATATGAGAGAGAACAGCCAGAGGCATCTGGAAGAGTCCAGAGCAGAGGGAGAAGGTAGATTGAACATGGCCAGCAAACTGGGCATGGCCAGGGTTCTGTAAGAGAAGGGAGAATAAGCAGAGATAGGGAGAATAGAGAGAGCTTAGCTCAGCTATAAGGATGAGTATTTGGGGGAAGGAAAACCTTGAACTGGAGGGAGTTAGGGTAAAAGAGGTGAGAAGGGTGAGTGTGAAACCTATAGCAAGTGCTTGTGATGCTGAGGGACCCTGGAGCCCAGAATGGGCTTGCTGATAGGGGCCATGTTCCTTGAGGATGTGGTATAGTTAGTTGTTAGGGTATGTAATTTAAGAAAGATTCTGTCCTCTTTCTAGAATATTTGCCAGGAGAAACAAAGGAGGTGGTGGGTGTAGCTAGCCAGGCATTTCTGCATGTTCTGTGTCCTGGCCCTGGTACTGTGGAGTAGCAGATCTGGGGAGCCCTTCTAGTTTGTTTGACTTGGGGGTACGGTGGACGGAGCAGAGGGAAGTCCTTGCATGGTTTGTCATTGCCCTCACAAAAGCTGTGTCAATCTCCTTGTCCTTACAGCTATTGCTCAGAAGAGAAGATGTTTGGTTTTCACAAGCCAAAGATGTACCGAAGTATAGAGGGCTGCTGTATCTGCAGAGCCAAGTCCTCCAGTTCTCGGTTCACGGACAGCAAACGCTACGAAAAGGACTTCCAGAGCTGTTTTGGGTAAGATTAGTTATGTTCCATTCTTAGAAGGAAAATAGTCAAAAGTGCGTGGAAATATTTCCACGCAAAGCAAGGGGAACGATGTGCTAATCTCTAAAAACACCCATTTTTTAATACCTGGGTTAGTGAGGATTCCATGCTCTTAAAATGATACGATCCTGGGCTGGAGAGATGGCTCAGTGGTTAAGAGCATTGCCTGCTCTTCCAAAGGTCCTGAGTACAATTCCCAGCAACCACATGGTGGCTCACAACCATCTGTCTGGCGCCCTCTTCTGGCCTTCAGGCATACAGACAGAATATTGTATACATAATAAATAAATAAAAAAAAAATGATACGATCCTGACAGCTTACCCTGCCTAATTAGTTGTGAAGTCTTTTATGGTTCCAATTAGACAGATATAAGTAAGTTTTCAAAATGTATCCTTATTCTCTTACCAATAGTGGGCCTCCAGTGCTGTTTCTACGTTGTGTTTACACGTTTTAACTTGCTGAGGAGGATGATAGCATTATACTTAATTTTCTGTCCTGAAATTTACCAGGGAATGCTACCGGGGTATCTTTCCAACGGATACCTAGATGAAATAAAATATTTAATGTTGAACCACTTCCTATGATAGAAGATAGTATGCCTGAGAGAGCGCGCATTTGCATGAGATTGATTTTGCTTGATTGCATGTGCACTTGGTTTTCCATACAGAGCTTCTCTGTAGACCAGGCTGGCCTCTGCCCGCCTCCTGAGTGCTGGGATTAAAGGCGTGCATCACCACTGTTTGAATGTGAACATTTGAGTGCTTGTATGTGCTGTGATTCATGCTGGGCCGGGCAACCTTGGTGTTGATCCTTGCCTTAGAAGATGGTCGTTCTATTTATTCCTTGCTTGTTAGGCCAGGCTGGCTGGCCTGTGAACTTCCGGAGATTCTCCTCTTTCCACCTTTCTACTTATAATGAGAACTGGGATTACAGATGCACATGACCATGCTTGGTGGTGTTTTGTTTTGCATTGCACACCTCCACACCTGGCTTTATGTAAGTTCTACATATTTGAACCCAGATCCTCCTGGAGTTTGTTCAGCAAGTGCTTTTTACCCACTGAGCCCCAGACCACACACCACTTTTTCTTTAAGCGCTTACTGATTGCTCATTGTTAGTTCTAGACTTAGACTTTGTCCTGCTGTTTTTTTTTTTTTTTTTTTTTGGTTTTTCGAGACAGGGTTTCTCTGTGGTTTTGGAGCCTGTCCTGGAACTAGCTCTTTTTTTTTTTTTGGTTTTTCGAGACAGGGTTTCTCTGTGGCTTTGGAGCCTGTCCTGGAACTAGCTCTGTAGACCAGGCTGGTCTCGAACTCACAGAGATCCGCCTGCCTCTGCCTCCCGAGTGCTGGGATTAAAGGCGTGCGCCACCACCGCCCGGCTTGCTGTTTTGTTTTTTGAGACTGGATGAACTTGCCGTGTAGGTAAGTTCTTGACTACTGGGATTGAAGGTGTGTGTGTTATACCTGGCCTCCTGTGTGTTTTTAAAGAGTGTGTATCATGCTAGCCCATGTTTCTCATAGTAGCTCTCCTGCCCCTACCTCCTGAATGCTGAGATTGTAGGGTCGCTTCACCACAGCTCATACTTGGTACTCTTCAGTTTTAAATTTTGGGGCTGAAGGAATGGCTCAGCAGTTAAGAATACTTGCTGCTCTTGCAGGGACCCTGGTGGAAATCCTAATCCTAATCTCTGGCACCAGGCATGCACGTGGTACACACGGATACACGTAAACATTAAATCTGATTTGAGTCTTCTATCTTTCCCTCCCTCCTTCTCTCTCTCCCTCCCTCCCTCCCTTTCCCTCTTCCTCCCCCCCCCCCCCACCTGCTCTCACTTTGTAGCTTTGGTTGTCCTGGAACTTACTATTCTAGACCAGGCTGGCTTTGAACTCACAGAGACCCACCTGCCCTTGCCTCCCAAGTGCTGGAATTAAAGACATGCACCACTATACTTGGCTTAAAAGAGACTTTTAAATGGAATACATTGATACTGACTGAGTCTCTAGAAGCTAATGGTTTCTTAGAATTGAAAATTTCATGTGTGTGTGTTTGTGTGCGTGTTTTGATCATTCCTTCCCACCATTCCCTGTCATATTTCTCTTCCAACTTCATCTACATAGGCTCCTCGCTCTCTCTCACTCTCTCTCTCTGAAGAGCCCTGATGTGTTTGTTTAATCCCAGCACTCTAGAGACAGAGACGGGCAGATCTCTATGAGTATAAGTTCAGACCAATCTACAAATTGAGTTCTAGGTCAGCCAGGGGTGACTAATAAATAAAACACATAGGTTAAAAGTAAGAGAAGAATTTCTTTTAAAATGGTACTGCCTGTATGTATTATGTACATGGGTGTAGGACTTGCTGGTGCGTTAGTTTCGTGTCTGAAATGCAGTGGAGGAACAGTGGAATAGATCGCGTTAGGGTAGTCAGAAATCACATCCATGAGCCGTAAATAGATGTATTTTTCTCCAAGAGAAGTATCCAATCTGAAGCCTCATGAGTGGAAAGTGAGATAATGCTCTGTTTTCCTGTCAGGTTGCACGAGACTCGCTCGGGAGACATCTGCAATGCCTGTGTGCTGCTTGTGAAAAGATGGAAGAAGTTGCCGGCGGGATCAAAAAAAAACTGGAATCACGTTAGTTGGTCTTTTTCTATCTCTATTAAAATAACATTAACGTCAGCACTCCCAATTTAGGAAGTTCTGTGTCACTAAGATAGAAAAGACTACAAGAATAAAGAAAAACACTAGCCTGGTGTAGCATTTCCCGGGATGTTTACAGTGTCCTTATGTTACACGTGGATCCCTCTTCACCCCTTAGAATGACGTGTTGCTTTGAACGCGTGAGCACATAAGTTTAGTCTTGTGTTTTGTGTTTACTACTTACTACTTGTAGGCTTCTGGCCACAGAGCTGTCAGCTATCCATAGAGCTACCTGAATGAGGCAGTGCCTATAAAACAAAATACAAGGCTGTGATTAGGTCAGCAGTGTCGGTGTGAGTTCTGTTACTCTTTTCACTTTATTGCCCCTGTCACTAGAATCATGTAATATATATTTAGATCTGTTTTTTTTTTTTTTAATTATTACTCTGTGAGTGTACGAGAGGTGGGGGCTGTTGGAGCCTTTGGAGCTGAAGTTGCAGGCAGCTGTGAGCTGTGTCTGATGTGGATGCCAGGCATGGCATTCAGAGTCCACTGAAGAGCAGCTCCTCCCCCCATTTAATTGAGGTGATCTGAGCAACACTTCTTAATGTTATTTTTGGAAGATGTATTTATTTTATTTTTAAAAATTTGTGTGTTTTGTCCACGTTTATGTATGTGTGCCGCATGCCCATGGTGTGCCTGTAGAGGCCAAAAGATAACATTGGGTTCCCTGGTACTGGTTACTGAGTGCTGAGCCGCCAGGTGGATGCTGTGACCTGAACTCACTTTTCTACAACAGCATCAAGGGCTTCTAACCACTGTACCATTTCTCTAGCCCCCAGCGCTTTTTAATTTTTGGTGCTGGAGGTGGAACTAGGGTGTTGGAGCTACATTAAACCTGTGCTGCTCACATCCCCTCGTCTACAGTTTTGTTAAATTCTTTAATAATGTTTGCTAGCTTTTCAGATATTTGTTTTGGCTTTTGCTTTATTAAGACAAAGTCTAATGTAGCCCCAGCTCAGTATGGCAGAAGACAACTGTGACCTTCTGTTTTGACTTCCCTGCCTCTCAGGCACCAGGGTTACAGGTGTGAGCCACCATCTCTGGCCAAGGTTTATGAAATTTACATTGCATAGAATATTTTGCATAAATAGGCATTTTTCTTTACCCAGCACAGTTCTGTCCATTGATAATGTTAAATTGCTGCACTAGGTTTCTTAGGGAACTATTACCTTAATACGTAAAGAAGTTTTTCTTTACTAGCTTACCTGAGGAAATCCCAGTTGTGATGTTTGAAGGTGATGACATTCTTCTGTGTTGAAGGCCACGCTAGACAGGGGAGAGGAAACGCTGTGATTGGTAAACTCTGGGCTTAGCATGCAGACCGGTCATAAGTAGTGCCTATTCTTTGTCATGTGACAGTCAAAGGTAGACACAAACCCTCAAACACTGGTATAAACTGGTTCTCGAGTAAGCCTGGGCCTAAATGGTATTAAATATTCAGTGTTTCCTTCCAGGTGGTAGATGCAAGGGCAGGACCCAGTCTGAAGACAACGTTGAAACCAAAGAAAGTGAAAACTCTGTCTGGAAACAGGATGAAAAGCAACCAGATCAATAAACTGCAGAAGGAGTTTAAACGCCACAGTGAGTTCACTGTTTTATTTTTGACCGGTTTACAGTATGTGCGAATACATTTCCTGCTTACTGTTTAATAAGTACTGGGGTGGTCCACTTCCTGTTTTTGAGCCTTGGCCTTTGGAAGGTACTTTTTTTTTTTTTTTTGGTTTTTCGAGACAGGGTTTCTCTGTGGTTTTGGAGCCTGTCCTGGAACTAGCTCTTGTAGACCAGGCTGGTCTCGAACTCACAGAGATCCGCCTGCCTCTGCCTCCCGAGTGCTGGGATTAAAGGCGTGCGCCACCGCCACCCGGCTTTTGGAAGGTACTTTTGACTTGGTGAATGTGTTCTTATTTCTGTGAAATAGACTCTGATTTGATATCTTAGAGAAACTAAAGGGGCTTGGGAGATCCTGGAGTGGATAAAGAGCTTGCTGCAGAGACATGAAGGCTTGTCAGATCCTAGCACCCACATAAAAAAAGCTGGGTGGAGGCCTGCAGGGGAGCTCATCTGGAAAGGCAGTCGCTACCCAGCCCTGATCTCCAGGACCAGCATGTTAGGAGAGAACCAACTCCACAAGTTGTCCTCTGACTTCTGCATGTGCACATGACATGTGTGTGCCTGTATACATACACAGATAAATGGAGCAACAACCAATAGTTGGGCAGACATGCCTGCCTGTGATCAGCACTAAAGATTCGAGAGGGGATCCCTGGAACGAGGTGACAGGTTCAGTGAGAGACGCTGCCTCGGGAAAGATGCCAGTCTGACACCTCTCTCTCTCTCTCTCTCTCTCTCTCTCTCTCTCTCTCTCTCTCACACACACACACACCAGAGTACTATATAATATCTGTTTAGCCCTTATGACCTTGAAGCAAAACTGCTGGGTTAAATATAAGAGTATTTCATAATAAGAATGTGGTTATTCACAGCAGGTGAATGGCCAGGTTGTTGTCTTTTTACTCATTTAGTAAACGAGTCACTACCACAATCAAGATAAATGAAGATTTCTAAGTCTTTTGGGGGCTTTGCTTGTTACCCACCTGTCTTGTGCTCTCTTGTTGATACCTAAGTGATCCTTACCGATGAAGACTTAACAATTTCAGTTCTTCACTCCATGTAGTTGTTATGTGTCTTGGTGTCCTAAAGTTGTAGATTAAATCTGAGGAATTGTAGCTTTTAAATAGTACACACTGAAATCAAGTGGTTGGAAACCACTGAACATTTGGGGTAGTGACCCCCCTCACATAGAAGCTGTTTGCTGATGTTCCTGGGAGGTTTAAGCATCCTGCTAGATTACTACTGAAGATTTTTTCTTTAGGAAGTTTAATACTATTTATTAAAAGTGAATTAGCATGCTAATAACACATGACACTTAATTGAGATGTTTAATTTTACATTATTTATGTAAGCGTTTTTAAGAGGAACTCGTGAGATCCTTATATTCATAAGCTTTTATTTTCCTTGTAATGCCAGAGGCTCTGTGTGCCAGGGAGGCACTCACTGCTGACCTGTACCCTGTGCCCTTGTAAGCACTCCAGGAAAATATTTCGGTGAGGCTGGGGAGATGGCTCAGCATGCAGCAGCTTTTGCGGAAGACCTTGGTACCCATCAAGCACCTTTATCTAGTAGCTCATAGCTACCTCTGACTCCAGCTCCAGGGTGTCTGATAACCTCTGGTCTCCAAGGTTATGTACATGTGTGCATGCACACAAAAAATCTGAACTAAAGCTTTGCTGTTTCATAAATATCAATGTTTCTCCGGATTAGAGGACCATGTGTCCGTGTCTGTAGGTGACAAGTTTAAATGGTTGTGATATTCAGTGCTACAGCATAGTGACCGTCAACCTGGTTGTGATATTCAGTGCTACAGCATAGTGACCATCAACCGAAGGGTGTGTTTTCTGGCTTTTATTTCCTTACTTTTTTTTTTTTTTTTTGAGATTGGGTCTTTACCTTTCTCTGTCCGTCCTGGAAGTCACAGTGTTGACCAAGGTATCCTCAAACTCAGAAATTGACCCCACAGAAATGTGTGCCTCTGCCTCCTGAGTGCTGGGAGAAAGGATGTGTGTCACCACGTGTGGCTTTATTTTCTGGCTTTTATATACATGGTGCAGACATGTGCTGGTGTAGCTCTAGGTTGGTAAATCACCTTTATTCCTGAGGTTATTTTCCTGTTGAGAGAAGTAGAGCAGGGGGCTGGAGAGATGGCTCAGAGGTTAAGAGCATTGCCTGCTCTTCCAAAGGTCCTGAGTTCTACTCCCAGCAACCACATGGTGGCTCACAACCATCTCTATTGAGGTCTGGTGCCCTCTTCTGGCCTGCAGTCATACACACAGACAGAATATCGTATACATAATAATAAAAAAAAATATTTGGAGAAGTAGAGCAGCACCTGGACTTTGCACACGATGAAACTCAAATGTCTTTTGTCTTCCTTGCAGATTCGGATGCTCACAGCACCACCTCAAGTGCCTCCCCAGCCCAGTCTCCCTGCTACAGTAACCAGTCAGACGACGGCTCAGATACAGAGATGGCGTCCAGCTCTAACAGGACTCCAGTGTTTTCCTTCTTAGATCTTACCTACTGGAAAAGGTAAAAGCAACCAACCCATCTCCACCGCTGGCTGCAGCGTACCGTGTGTAGAGCAGTTGAACATATTTGACAGATAACTGGTGGTTATCTGGAAGTCTGGTGAGCAGGAATTGAACATTGAGCAGACCTTGGGTGTAAGACTCAAATTTACATTGATTGAGTAAGACTAGCTGTTCTGAGAGTTACCACTAAAAAAAAGGGTAAGTGGTTCAAGTCTCTTAAGTTCCATTAATAGGTGTCTTGGTTTCATTTCTGCTTGCTGTGATGATAAAACACATGAGGGGAAAGGGTTTATTTTAGCTCTCAGTCAGTTCAGGTTACAGCGTCTGTCACCATGGGGAAGTCACGGTAATAAAAACTGGAGAACTGGCCACGGCAGAGCAGAGCAAAGGACATGAATCCATATGTGCTCATGTTCAGCCAGATTCTCTACTCTTACATGGTCTAGGGTCGGCGCCGCCCACAGTGGGCACGGTTTCCCACCTCAGATCAAAACTGTCATGGCGACAGGGACACTCGGACCAGTTCAAATGTGGGCATGTGGCCAGAGAGCAAGAAGAGACAATAATTAGGAAGGGGAGAGTGTTTTCAAAGGAAAGGTAGTATCCCTGGAACACAGAAAACAGTTAACACATTTCCTGTACATGTGCCTAAAACTACACAATGTGAAGGACAGTGTAGGACTGTGCAGAGAAAATATACTGCTTTTACAGGAACCACCAAGGCATAAAGATGAAGTCTTTGAAACAGACATAAAGCAAGCTAGAAACCAGTATATTAAGGTCTTCAGTTGCTAGAAGGAAGATACTACCTCCGAGCCAGGTGTGGCCTTTAATCCCAGCACTTGTGACACAGAGGCAGCTGGATGTCTGAGTTCGAGGCCAGCCTGGTTCACCTAGCAAGTTCTAGGACAGCCAGGGCTACACAGAGAAACCCTGTCTTAAAAAACCGAGGGTGGTAATGGTAAATGGTAAATACAGGTAGAACAGAAAAGGTGAAGTAATGTGGTAGAATAGGGTTGGGCATAGGTTCCCTAATTATATGTGTAAGGACCTACGTTCAGTCCATACCTAGTCCGGCCCTAAACAGAAAGAAATACTAGAACCCAAATTAGTGACCATGGTGATAGCAACACCGAAAGATGGATAAACAAAGAAAGACTCTAGCAAAATAAAGTATATTCTATACAAGGTAAGAGTCAGGAAAGTTTCATCCAGCAAAACAAAATAGTAGAGACCAACCCATATAAATGGAAGTGAAAGTATAATATAAATTGGAACATAACATGCTAAGGAACATATCTGTGAGCTTGAGGCTGATCCTTGATCGTAGCACTGGGAGGCAGAGATGGGATTCCAGGGCTGTGCTGTCTAGCTAGTCTCTCCAGATTGGTGTGGACTGCAGGTGAGGAACAGTTGGGGAAGACACCCGTGTTGAGCTATGTTCCACGTCACTGCTTTTAGAGCAGTGTATAGAGGTAGATTGAGCAGGATTGTTTTTTGTAAATAATCTGAGTATCTAAGATCAATAATGCACGTAAATTCTATTGGTCAGCATAGAAATAAAAGGAAACAGGCAGAGAATCAGAGTAGAGTGGTGTTTGCTAAAAGGAGTGACCAAAGAGTGTTTTAAGAAAGCTGGAAGGGGGGCTGGAGAGATGGTTCAGTGGTTAAGAGTACTGACTGCTCTTCCAGAGGACCCGGGTTCAATTCTCAGCACCCACATGGCAGCTCACAACTGTCTAAAGATCCAGTTGCAGGGGATCTAACATCTTCACACCAATGCACATAAAATAAAGTTAAATAAACCATTATATATATATATATATATATACACACACACACACACACACACACACATATATGTATATATATAAAGAAAGAAAGAAAGCCGGAAGGATGGCTCGGTGGGTAAACTTGACAACTGAGTTGTAAAAACGCCTGCTCGTAATGTCTTGTTTTCCTTTGTTTTAGACAGAAGATTTGCTGTGGGATCATATACAAGGGCCGCTTTGGGGAGGTCCTCATCGACACGCATCTCTTCAAGCCCTGCTGCAGCAGTAAGAAGGCAGCTGCTGAGAAGCCTGAGGAGCAGGGGCCAGCGCCTCTGCCCATCTCCACTCAGGAGTGGTGACTGAGGTTCATGTAGAAGGGAACAAAGAGCGAATTTAAACTTTGAAAAGACCACAAAGCAACAAACTGACCCTCCTATTTTTAACTTGGATACCTGCTATTCTGCCAAAAGACATTTTTCTAGAATAGTTTCATGGGTTACCCATCCCCCCATCCAACAAACTTTGAAGCCAGTTTCTAGCTTACTACAAGAAAGAAGTGTACATAATATTTAAGATGCTGGGTATTTCATAGGAAAGCTGAATGCTGCTGTAAAGTGCTCTTTAAAGTCTTTTTTTTTTTAAATCCCCTCTAATGAATGGAAGTAGGGGAATTTCAGGGGACAGAGATGGGATTTGTGTGTGATAAACCATATGTAGTTTTTAGTCTTTCTGTGGAGAGGCAGTGGTTGGGGCATTTTTAAATGGCTGGCTACACTTGTTTTCCCTCATGATGATTTGTCATAACTCAGTAGCACGACCTGCCCCCTAGAGGTAGTTAAGAATTTTTCAATGTTAAGGTGTTGCCAAGGCTCTGATGATTCAGACCTGTACTACTGATGATTAAGCAGGACAGACTGAGCTTTCTGCAAATAGCTTGGAGGACGAAGCAATCTCTGAACACACACAGGCAGCACCGAGTCGCCTCCCCTCGTCCTATGTGAATCTTATAAAACAGAACCAGAGCTCCTTCTGGGGAAGGCCAGCCTGTAGGATGAACAAGGTCCTATAGGGACAGAACCAAAGCATCACCATGCGGTAGAGAACACGTGGTTAGAAACTACTTAGACAGGATGTGTAAGTCCTGGGGATGCGGGGGGCACAGTGGGTGCTGCTCGGGGCACATTTCTTAGAGGGCTTGCAGTGTATAAATAATTGACATTGGTGTTACACAGCTGTCTGGGATTCACTGAAATCCGCACGATTCAGTTCTAGCTCTGGATTACCTCAGTTGACCTTTTGTGGAGGTTTTTTTTTTTTTTTTAATCTATAGAGTAGCTCTTTGCCTTGTTATAACTTTATTAGGGTTTTGGGTTTTGTCTTACTGTTTTTCTCCCTCTATTTAAAGTTTGATTAGAAGAAAAGAGTTGTGTGTTGAGGCTAAGTTGGTTGGTTGGATTGGGTCGGCTTCTTGGAGTTGGGCTTCTGAACATCAAGATAGCTGAGTGGAGCTCCTCGTGTGGAGACCTCAGTGAGGGCGCTCAGCTGAGCCAGACTGAAGTTGTCCGACCGCCTCTTTTCAAAGTTCAGGAAAAATAGTGCCATTTCAGACCTCCTAGAGGGAGGGGTGTGTGGCTGCCTTAGTATTCTATCGCTCATGATATTTTAAAAACTGGATTTTTAAGAGTCTGTTGGTGTTTCACAACGGGGAGGGCCACTGTTTGTGGCATCCTATAGTTTTATAGTTTTACATTTTGTGTGTCTCTTCCTTTTTGGAAAAACCTACCTAGTACAAGCCACCGCATGCACAGAGTGGTTGGTTCTCCACAGCCCTTGGTGTAGTACAGAGTCCAGCCGTTACCATTCTCCCGCGTTGCTTCGACGCGGGATGTTTCTTTTGTACATTTTGGCTGCAGTATTGGTGGTAGAATATACTTTGATGGATCATCTCTACTTCTGTATTTATTTATTTATTACTAGACCTCAACCACAGTCTTCTCCCCTCCACTCTCTGCCGTAGGATGTACTGTATGTAGTCATGCACTTTGTATTAATATATTAGAAATCTACAGATCTGTTTTGTACTTTTTATACTGTTGGATACTTATAATCAAAACTTTTACTCTAGGGTATTGAATAAATTTAGTCTTACTAGAAAATAAAAGGAGCTGTTCTGTGGTTTTATTTTAAAGGTTTCTGGTAAGAGTGTTTTTCAGGGCCTAGAGAGATCGCTCAGTTGTTAAGAGCACTGACTGGTCTTGCAGAAGACCCACGTTGGGTTCCCAGGACTATGCATATGACACCCCAAAACATCTGTACTCTTGGGGACCAGGCAAGCACACCACACACAGTTAGTGGCAGACAAAAACATCCCATGTACATAAAATATAAAATTTTCTTTATGGGAACATGATGTAAGTTTATTTTGATGAACTGGGGTGGGGAATGAAGAATAAATGGAGCCGGGCGGTGGTGGCGCACGCCTTTAATCCCAGCACTTGGGAGGCAGAGGCAGGCGGATCTCTGTGAGTTCGAGACCAGCCTGGTCTACAGAGCTAGTTCCAGGACAGGCTCCAAAGCCACAGAGAAACCCTGTCTCGAAAAAACCAAAAAAAAAAAAAAAGAAACCTTAAAAAAAAAAAAAAAGAATAAATGGGTATTACAGCTGACATGCAGAGAACTTCATGTCTTGGTTTTAACTTGAATCGAATGTCCACAGTACTAGGATGTCCATGCTAAGTTTTAATTATCCGTGGGAAGAGTCAGACCTGTCTCTTGTATAAAACAACTTTACAGAATTATGAGGAACTCAAAGTCCAGACAGAAGCTTTAAACAGTATTTTTGAGAGTTATATATCCAAGCTGGTAGGTTAGATGGGTAGTAAGGGTATGTGCTGCCAAGCCTGACAGTCTCTGGAGTTACTATGGCATACTCTAGACCATTTCCCTCTGTCCTTAGTGTGCCAAAGAGTCAGAGTGCTTTTATATGCAGAACATGCTTCTCAGGTGATACTACAAAACACCACATTCCCATTTTTTTACTTTTTGTTTTTTTCAGACAGGGTTTCTCTTTGCAGCTCTGGCTGTCCTGGAACTTGCTTTGTAGACCAGGCTGGCCTGAGATCTGCCTGCCTCCGCCTCCTAAGTGCTAGGATTAAAGGTGTGTGCCACCACCGCCCAGCTTAGACTCTTTATTTCTGTCCTTAGTGTGTCAAAGGTCTGAATGTTAGCATAGAAACCAGGAAGCAGGAACTGAAGCAGGGGCCATAGAGGAAAACTGCTCACTGCTCGCTTTTCATGCCTTGTTCTGCAGCTCAGTAGTGGCTGTGTCCTCAGTGGGCTGGGCCCTCTAACATTAATCCCACAGACTTGTCTACCAGGCGCTCTTATTAAGGCTATCTTAATTATTGTTCTATTGCTGTGAAGAGACACTGAGCAAGGCAACTGGGAGCTTGCTGATAGTTTCGGAGGGTTAGTTTGTTGTGGTGGTGATGTTTCCCAAGTAACTGGGAGCTTTACATATTTATCAGTAGACAATGGGCAGAGAGAGACACAATCAAGCGTGGGCATTTGAAACCCCAAGGCACAGGACGGTCGGCCAAACTGGGAACCAAGCACTCAAGTACATGAACCTCTAGGGCCATTTTTGTTCAGACCACCACAGAGGTGTGAAGAGTCCCAGATAGGTTTGTGAAATTGACAAACATAGATCTACCATACCTGAATCCTGTTATTTTAAAGGTGAAGCTCTAAATTTAGATTGTGAGACTCTTGATCTATAATGCTGCTCTTTTGTTTGACAGACAGGAAAATAGATCTTTTATGATACAACACCTGTTGTGAGCCAAGTGATTTTAGGCAATGATTAAACATTCTGAGAAGTTGTCTTAGTTACTTTAATGTGAAGAGACACATGGCCAGGGCAACTTAATTGGGGGCTTGCTTACAGTTTCAGAAGGTAAGTCTATGCCATTGTGGGGAGCATGGCAGCATGAACTGACATCTTGAGACAGCCGTGAAGTGAAGTGGAGATTTAATCGAGAAAGGATGGGTGGGTTTTTGAAGCCTCAAAGCCCAGTCCCAGTGACACACCTACAAGACCTGACCCATTCTCGTTCAGATCACAACCAAAGTTAATTTAAACTTGGAGAGATGGCTCAGTGGTGAAGCAGTGACTGCTCTTCCAGAGGACCCAAGTTCAATTCCTAGCACCCACATGGCGGCTCATGATTGCAACTCCAATCCCAAGGGATCTGGCACCCTCGTACAGGCAAAAATACCAATGCACACAGAATTAAATCTTTTTAAAAATTACCCCAAGGCCTCTCTGGCAGCTGAGTGGAAGAGTAAAGAAGAGTGTGATGTGGATAAAACCCCACCTCTGATTCGTGTTTGTTTGTTTGTTTATTTAATGGTTTCTGTAGTCCTGGAACTAACTCTGTAGACCAGTCAGGCTGCCTTCAAATTTAGAGACCTACCTGGCTCTGTCTCCCCAGTGCTAGGATTAAACCCTGCCCAGCAGTGTTTGTTTGCTGTATTTTTAAATGATTTATGTATAACTAGAAACCTCAGGGTCCCTCCTGCCTCCGTCTCCCAACACCTGAATTACAAGTTGTGCCCTCCCCACCCCCAGCGTGGCTTACTTTGTATGTGAATGTTGGGGTTCTAAATTCTAGTCCTCATCTTATGTGACAATCACTCTACCAGTGAGCCAGAACCCCCAGTTTTTTTTTAAGGCTGATTTTGAAAATGTATTAAGCATCCGTAGTAGTATACACCTGTGATCCCAACGTTTGGGAGGTGGAAGCAGACAGTTGCAACTTTGAGACCACCTGAGGTACATGCGGTCCGGGGTTAACAGTTGGACAGCCTCAAAATGTAGCCAGAATTGACTGCCTGCTGTGCAGTGTAGACCTGGAGCTCTCCAGGGACTCTTAGTACAGTGTCCTGGGGAAGGCTTCTTAAATATTGCAGATCCAGCATCCTGGTGCCTGGCAGTAGGAGAGGGAGGAGACAGCCAAGTTGGATCAAAGTTGGGTAATTTCACAGGCTCATTTATGAAAGAAAGGGACCAGCGGATCCTGTCGAGCCGTTTCTCTGTCTAGCTGTGGAGTTGGGTTACTCACGTTGGTATCATGTTCCCCTACACCCCTGAGTAATGGCTATTTATTATAGTATATAGAATCGGGGTGTGTGTCTTAGACAAGCCTATTTGTCTCCGCGTCTGAAAAGGGAACTTACTCTGTTTTAGAAGGTCTATACATAGCTTACCTGCACTTCACTTCACCTGTGGGATTTTACAGCTACAAGGAAAGATGGAGTTTATGCATCAGTCTCAAACAGCGGCTCAGCATTCTCAAGTTGTTTAGTAGATCCCCAACAGTGTGAGAAAAGGAACCGAACAATTGTGCTGTTGTTGTTTAACAAGTATATTCTTGGTCCTGAGCTACGTTGACAAACTCCCTGTTGACTGTTCCCACCACTCAAGGTCCCTGATGGCTTTCCTATGGGAAATGGCAAATCCCTTATAATCAGTCTCTCTGCAGGTGACCTCCCAGGGCCTCTGAGCTCTAACACCAAGTTACAAACTCGGCTTTAATTAGAGCGGAGTTTACCTGGCCTCAGACTCAATCAAAAACCTGGCTAGGGGCACAGGGTGTAAATTCCCAAGTTCAATTACAAAATCTTTTCATAGATTGTAAGTGGGCAGAATTACCAGGAAGGCTTTTGGGGAACTGTCTGCAGGAAGAGCCACCGCCTGCTGCAGCTGCTGCAGCTGCTGCTGCTACATACACAAGCTCAGCCAATTTCCTTCTTACCTTACGAATTGCCGTGTGAATGCCCACCAGGTGGCACTAGTCGGAGGAAAACCGATGAGAACGTTGTAGGCTTCCCTTTTAAATAGACAGGATCTTCCGTCCCCAGCTTGCGGAGCAATGGGAAGATGAAGGAACCTTTAGGAGGCAGAACCAAGCAGAGGAAGGTAGGTCATTGGAGGAACTTCCTAGAAGAGATACTGGGATCCTGAAAATCTCTCCCTCTATGGCGTCGGTGTCTGTCTGTCTCTCCCTCCTCTCCCACCCTCTGTTCCTCATCTTCCCCTTTTTCCGTTTCCCCAGCTCCTGTGTTGAACAACCTCCCCCCGCCCCTGCAGTTCTGTTACAATGCTTTGCCTCTTCTCTGGGATTGGAACCTTTAGTCATTAGCTAAAATAAACTTTTTCTTTTTATAAGCTGACTTTCCCAGGTGCTTTGCCATAGATGCTTGCGCACCTTAAAGAGAGAAATAAGGCCTACCTTCAAAACTTTTCAATAAGGACAAAGGATATTCCAGGCCAATATAACATTTTGATAATAAGTCATTTTTATGTTAATCAGCATATAATTACATCATTTACCCCCTTCCCTTCTTCCCTTCACACACACACACACACACACACACACACAAAGTACAGGTTCTCAACCAGGCTGGGGGTGGCGCATGCCTTTAATCCCAGCACTCAGCTGAGGCAGATAGATCTCTGTGAGTTCTAGGGCAGCCTAGTCTAGGACAGCCAGGGCTGTTACGCAGAGAAACCATCTCTCAAAGAGAGAAGAAAAGAAAAGAAGAGGAGAGAGAAATTAAGAAAACAGTTAATACCCTCAATTTAGATAAACTCCCTGAATGGTCACCCTAATATTTTGGAACAAAAACAAGCTAACATGTTGACTGATTCATAGTTTATTAAAGAGTTATTTCAGCCCAAATGCAAACTTTAAAAGTAATTATTTCTTTCCCTTTTATTTATTTATTTTTTTTATATGTGGGTATTTTACCTACATGCATATGTCTGGGATTCCCTGGAGCTGGCGTTAAAGTTCTCGGCAGTCATGTGGGTATTGGGAATAGAACCTGGGTCCCTTGGAAAAATAGACCATGCTCTTAAACTGCTGGATGAACTTTCTAGCACTCCACCCAACAGGCTCTCCCTCTGTAGCCCAGGAGGGCCTCAAGCTTAAGGCAAACTCAGGGAATCCTGACTGCCCTTCCTGTTTGACTGTTGGGATTACAACATAAACCACCATGCTCAGTTTACAATCTGTTTCCATTTGTTTGGCCAGGATAATTTAGGTTCTTAGTAAGAACTCAGACAGTGACAGTTATGCTAATGCTATAAT